TTCAACGCGGTGGATCGCCTGTACGGCGAGACGCTCTCGGCGCTGTTGATGCGGCGGGCGCTGCCGGCCCCGGGGGCCCCGCTCCTCCGCCTCGGCCCCGTCCAGGCGGAGGGGGGGCAGGTGTGGGTCGTGCGGAACGCCTTCGCGGCGAACGCCGGGCACCAGGCCGAGGTCACCGCGCGCTACGTCGTGGCCCTCCCCGGGGGCGGGCGCACGCTTTTGCAGGTCGATACGATGGCCTCGCCGCGGCAGTCGCGCTACGCGTCGATGATCCTCGCCGGGGTGGAGCCTTTTCGCAGTTTTCTCCAACACCCCCCGAGCGAGTTCGTGATCTTCGATCGCAACGTCTTCGGCGGATCCGAGCGCGGGGTCCGCGTGGCCGGCTTCGTGAACGCGGCGAGCGTGCGCTTTCAACATAACATCTTCCAGGACCTCCACGTCGGCATCTTGGTCGAGGGCCACCTCGCCGCCTGCACCATCGGCGGGGGGAACCTCTTCCAGAGAAACCACATTGGCCTCAAAATCAATGTCACCCCCAGCCTGCTTTATACCACCCCGGGCGACGGCGAGAAGGATCCTGAGATGCATCAGGACTTACGGATACGGGTCTTTGGCAATGTCTTCAAATTGTCCAAGGATTGCTCCGTCTTGGTGAGCTCCGCAGGGGATCGTTCCGTTTTTCTTTACCAGAACGAGTTCTTTGGCCATCCCATGGGAAGCACGGCCGTTTACCTTGCCCCGGCAAAAACGCATCGATTACATGAGGGGACCGTCATCGTTAAAAATATTTTCTTTGAAGGGTATACATCGCTTGTGGTCAGTGGGCAGGAGACCCCTGACATGGGTGAAAAAGTGGTCCCTCAGAACGAGCTTCGTGTGGTACCGAGCCTCGCCGCGGAGAATACTTTTATCGGAAATTACATCGGTGTCCTAATATGTAAAGGGGGTATCCTTCATCTTGTAGATAACTTATTCGATAGCAACTTTAGATGTGGCTTGGAAGTGAGCGGAATCAACACGAAGTTCCACGTGAGAAATTGTGTCTTCCGTAATCATTATGCCTCCCAGGTATCGAAAATCTATTCATCCGGTTCGGCTTCCTTGCTAGGTTCAAAGGGCGCCCGATTTCCGGAAGACGCCAGTATCGCCTTACTTATGGGGACCATTTCAGTAGACCTGATTCCGGAGAATATCCAATTGCTGAATTTAGAATCTAAACATAACTTAGTATCGGGGATTTTGGTCGATACCTTTGTGGAAGGGGTGGTTGAGCAGTGCACCTTCACCGATAATGAACTCGGCGTCGACGCCGTACGGGATGCCAAGCCGACTTCCATGATAGCCCTGGACAGCACTCTGAAGTTTATCGCCTGCGCCTTTTATCAGAATCGAATCGCGGGGATGATACTGCGTGGGAATACGACGCCGGACACCCACGACATTAAGGATAGCAAGCCCGCCTACCTTAACAAAACCGATGTCGGCAAGGGCTCATGGTGGGACAATAAGGATGTCAAAGAGTTTCACGAGGCCACGATAATCCAAGAATGCTACTTTTTCGACAATCACTGCAATAAGACAACCTGCGGGGATGTGATCGCCATATGCACAAGCTATGCCATGTTCCGCGATAATCTCTTTCACGGCACGGTTCACGGTATGGAGAATAGTCATGCCGTTTTCATGAATAATTTCTTTGAGGAGGACAGTTCTAATACCCAAAAGGATCCTCATCTTCGATGCCCAGCGGTGGTGCTCCACCCTCGATCGAGGTTAAACTTTAAGCACAACTTTCTTTCGCATATTAAAAACGCCGTTTTGGCACTTCCAGGTGCGAGCGGTGTGGTTCAATCGAATTTTTTACATAAGTGCAATACTGGTATCACCATTGCACCTCATAATTGTACTATTTTTAGAGATAACAAGATTTACTTAAGTCCCAAACGGGCGGTTTTGTCTTACGGAGGGCTTTTTGCGAATAATGATATCTATGGGGGGGCGGCCGGGATTATTGTTTGCTCTGGGACTGAGTACAAAGGCACTGATGTGTCGTCTGAATGTCTAAACCGAAACGATGTCCCTTTGTGCTCTTACAACACCATATGCGGGTGTGAGGGCAACGGCATCCTTCTGCAAGATGCGGCCACATTAGAAGGCAATATCATCTCAAACTGTGAAAATGGGTTCAAGATCCTTCCCTTTGCGAATCTGGAGGGCCGAGAAAGGATCCCTGTTGTAAAGGCCTGCACCGTTTACTCCAATAACATCGGTTTTAGTCTTGAAGACAACTCGGTCTCCACTTTACAGGAGAACGATATATTTGACAACAAACAATACGGCGTGGTACTGATGGATAACACCTCGGGGACGCTGCAAGGTAATCGCATCTCCACCCTTGATGACACCAATGCGATCAAAGTTAGTACGGCCTCCCACATTAGGCAATATGGAAACATCATTCGCTGCCAGTTCTCACCTGGGGGAGCCAAGGTCGATGTCGCGGCAAACCGAAGTAAGGAAATCGTAAAGAAAGGCAAGATGGTGGAAAAGGATATTGAGAACGCCGAAAAAGAACTTGCGACGGTTTATAAAAAAACGCAAAAGATGCGTGAAACTTCCGAGCTTACTAGCAATAAAATGCTAGATGAGCTGAGTGGTCGAGTCGCCTCGCTGTGCGAGGATTCCGTCGAGGTGGTATTCTCTTTACGAAGGCGAAAGAAGCACCCATTGACCAACCCCGCGGGACTTAGCGAGCGAAGGTCCACCACCATCCCACCGACCCCCACGCAAGACAATCATCGCCTTTCCCTGACGAGTAAAGATGACATTTTATCCCGCCAAAGCCTGAACGCCACCTTTTTGGAGCAAAATGGAATGCGCGAGTCACTGCCGCGCGTGGAGATGTCCCACCACGTCTTTGTTCACGGCATCGCGCAATCGAAAATGTACTCCAGCGGGAATGCCGTGGGGCGGGCCGTCGCCGAGATCTTCCGCGTGCCGAGCCTCGCCCACATGCGATTTACCACGACCGTGACCACCGGCCAAACCGAGCTCGCCGCCTTCCTGAAGCGCGCCGAATCGAAAAAACCCGCCATGATGATCCTCTTTGTGGAGGCCCATCTACGGAAGCTGTCGTCGAAATACGCCAAGACGCTGGATTCGTTTTTCAAGAGCTGGGAGCTTTCTTCGCAGGCGGAGCACCTCTCCCTGATCGCACCTACCTGTCCAACCCCGGGGATGTGCTGTTCTTTGCTATATATGATATTTCCAAAGTCGTTTTCCTCCTCCAGCGCGGGGAATCGTAAAGTAAAGCGAAGTGGAAGCCAACAAAGCAATAGCTCAGATTTTACGGAAATGCTGTTGGAGAACGCTAAGCGGGCTCACATGGTCTTTTACTACAAATCGCAGATTAATGACATTCTGCCAAAGATTCAGGAGGCCATTGTCCAATGTATATTGCGCAATCACCCGACATCGCAGAATGGCGCGGGAAGTTTACCCTCGCGAACCGGAGGCAGTATTCTTGACAGTAGGGAAAACTCGGAAATCCTTCCTAAAACCCCAATCCGTCTGCAAGAGGGGTTAATCAAAGGCGCGACATTTCGAAGACACCTGAAGATTCGTTCGTCGTCGCAAAATCGTGATGATGATATCCTAGAGAAAACCAAACGCGAGTCTGATCCGTCTGCGACGAAAAAAACGCGAAAACTGAACAAAAAGTCGATCAATTTGAATCATCAAGAACAGATTTTTTCCCCCAACAACACGCTGGACGAGAAAGCATCTCAAGAACACCTTCCGTTATTCCTTACCCCCAATTTGTGCCACCTTAAAATCTCAAATGTTAACGAAAATGAAGAGAAAGCTACTGACGAAATATTCCCCTCACAGATGCATGTTCGTAAAACAACCGCAAAGATGTCCGCAAAAGTTTCGCATTCCACATCTTATTCCCATCTAAAACTTCAATCTTTACAACGAAAGCGGGTGTGATTGAAAGAAGGGGAAAGGGGCACTCTGTAGAATTATCGTCTTGTTAAAATTACCCATAACTTTCGACACAATCGTTAAAACAAAAACGCCAATCCCGTGCTTGGAATGAGGCGACTTTAAGTAAAAAAAAAATCAAAGTGAATCATATTATTGATGCTCTTATCTTTATACTCGACCGATTAAAGCATGATCAGGGTAAACTTGTTTAAATACGCTTCTAATTTTTGAAAGCGTTTTGTTTTATTATTATTATTAATACACGTAATTATTGGTGCGTTTTTTCTTGCGTATAGTCTATCCATTTTCCTGCTCGTTCAATACGCAACTGTCTTTAAGTTCTTTTATACTTATATATTTAGGAATACCCAACAATATTGCGTATTTCTGAAATTTATTATTTTACCTTTACATGAGTGTTGTCTTTTCTATAATAATGTACGAATACTTCTAACTATTGGGTTGTAATGATTGCGTTTTTCTTCTCCTTTTGACTGAGGTGCCTCGCGGATGGGCGGTCCTTTGGCGTCCCGGGGGGTCCACCAGGTCCCTTCCCAACCCCTCCAGTTCCCTGTGTCACTGTTGGGTTATATTCCCCTATATTTTCCCCTTCTCTTTTTCTCTGTGTTTCTCTGTTGTCCCCACACGTACGAGTGGAGCGTCTTCTGTCACAACCGATGCCACCCAAGCGAAAGCCACCTCCCTCCCAGGGGCGCTCCCCCGGGTCTGTCACAGTGGCGGACGCGGGGCGGTTTTTCTACCTCAACGGGATCCTCTGCAAGAGCTTCGCCGCCGACGGCGCGTTTCGCCCGTCGGCGGTCTTTCCCGCGGTGGACGCTGTGGCCCACACCTTGGCCACCCCTACGGGGGAGGAGGAGGGGGACCCGATTCCTCTCAGTCTCCGGCCTAACCTGGACGACCCCATTTTGAACACCTTTGGGGTGCTTTCGAAGGGGGTGCTGATGGACCCGTGGGATGGGCACTTTGTGGATTTTGCCGATCCGCAGGTCTGGGCCCCGTCGCTGTTGGACGCCGCGGGCGAGACTTCTTCTCGCGAGGCCAAGGGGACGGGAGGGGATCTTCCGCCCAAACAATTCCCTCTGCAAAAACCCTCTGCACGAATTCCACGGCTGCAGCGATTGTCCTTACACGCAAGCAGCACCTCATCCCTATCCCTCGAGACGCTTCACAGACAAAATCAGGACTTTTATGAACAAGGAGACTTTTCCGGTTTACGGGCGCAGGCTTGCGTGTTGCTCTGCTCCTCTCTCGAACCCCTAGACCGATCTGAAGCCTTGGAGGAATGGAAAGAAATGATTCTGAAGGATCGGACCCCCTTTTCGTGGCCCTATTGCCGGAAGTTTATTTCCCACTCCAACCTCCATAATGCTGTGAAGGGCTATGTGGAATGGCTTTTTACCGCCTGCGAGTTCCCCCGCGCGGCGGTAGACCCCCAATCCGACCGCCATCATTTGTTTTTGCACTACTTAACTCTGATGGAGGAGTATCGGCTGCTAATAAAACTTCGGAGGCCACAAAGCACCCACTTGCCGGTGGGGATTCCCTTTCCTTTTCAATACAAAGGCCGCGCGTTGCGCAGGGCGGTGCAAAACGAGGAATCCGAAATTAACGACGCATCTCATTCGGGCGAGATACCGAACGAGGGCGATTCTTCCCTCGTGAGCGCCTCTTTGCTGTCATCTTTTAGTTGTTTGACCGGGAAACCATCGATGAGTAGAGTTGGCTACAGTACCATTCGGGGGGATATATTTCACCGGTACAACAACAGAAATGTCGTATTAGAAATACAGAAATACGTCACGCCGCTAAGAGCGTTGGATTGTAAGCGCTCGCGCAAAATATTGGATGAGATTGAGCGGCCGTATTTATATCCGCCGAAACATTTAAGCCAATGGAGGCGGGCATGGTGGATTTTTAGTGTTTACTTTTGTTATCTTGGACTTATAAAGGGTCCTTCTTCCCCTCAATTGAAGGCGAGTGCTTCGACAGAATTACACCGTCCAATAAAGTCTGAAACTTTGCCCTTTCCTCGATACCAGCTTTTTTTTAATAAAAAATACTCGGTATCTGATGAGGTCCATCGTAAGTGTTTGGATGAAGAAAAACTAAAGTGTGCTCAGTGGAAGGGTCCGAGTAAGTTATGTGCGATGCGCTCGCCGAGTAAAATCGAAATTGCGTGGGCTTGGAATTATATGATATGCCATGAAGATCGTGATCGACTACTGGAGCGCTTGTCAAAGGTAGAAATGTACCTTGTCAAACTGACTTCGTCTACAAACAAGAGGAATAAACCCGAACTAGATTTGGCTTAAAGCGTTTATCGCTCCTCTTGATTAACCTTTTAAGCTCGGAATGGGTATGCAATTGCGGTATCACAATAAGTGTGCATGCGTGTTTCTAGTGTGGTGGATGGCTGGAATAATCAACATGTTATTGGCGACTGAATTCTTATAAAAGTCTCTTTAGTTGAATGAACCTTATTGACATTTTTTTTATGTTAACCAATTTTTCTAACAAGACAATAGCAAAAGGTACAAAATTTTCTGAGAGCGAAAAGTCCACAGAAGAGGACGATGTTCAGGAAATCGATTCCGTTCCTGCATATTGTGCTGCGGAGCGCGTTAATTAAGTCGCATTTGGAGCTCCATCGTTTGCTGGATACAATAAACCACTCCTCGGTTGACTTATCGATCCCGCTCAAGCGTTTTCTTCAGAAGGATCTCATTCCCTTCCTGGAAGGGACCTCATTAGAACAGAGGCAGGATATTAAAGAAATGCAAGAAATTGCCTGTCAGATAATGTGGGAAGCCGCCTTTGCCGCTCAACTTCTACAGGCAAGCCCGAATGGACGCTATGTGGCTGCGCTTCAAAAATGCATCTTACACGATCATGAGCGCATGCACTTTCTGCATCGCATGACCTCAGCGGATGCGAGTAAAATTATTGAAAACTTATGCAATGTTGGCGTTCGGGATCATTCTGTCTACAACGTACTCATTTCTAAGCTCGATTTTCATGGTTTACGTCAAATCGCGCGTGCGATGTTCGCATTTGCGAGTGTAGGGCTTCACGAACTTACGATCCGATCGGTGGTGCCACTTTACTGCGATGAGAAGTGGGCCCTGGCATATGAATTACCGCCGGAGGAACGATTAATCTCCCGCAACACGAAAAGCGAGGACCTTTGCAATGTTTTCGAAGCCGTGCGCGTTTTAAGGGTTCTCTCGACCTCTTTGCGAAGTCTAGTTTTTTTGAAGAAGGCTTCGTTTCCCATTTGTCCTGATACTCCTCATTTGTTACCCGACTCGGATACCCTTGAGGATCTTCCGAATGGAAATATCAACAAGATCCGCAATAGGCTATGTGTTTTTATTCTAGAGAATGATTTTGTCATGCGTGGAGGTCATTGGATTAATTTTGTTAGAGCCCTGGTTAATTTTCCAAAAGAATACCAAGTATTAGACGGCCTAAACCAGGATCCGCACTTCCCGAGCGTTATAAGCAAATTTGCTGCCGATATTACAAGAGATCAAGCAGTAAACCCTGCTGATGAATCCACAGGAAGAATTTTGAATGGGGGCGCTATTACGGGATATGATCTGGCGTTGATCGGGATAGCTAAAATTTTTGACTTTGTCGAAGGAAGACGGACTCACTTGGCCGATAAAACTCCTTCAGGGATGGCAAATAATTCCTTCCCTCAGAGTAGTCCAGGGCGGTTGATTGTGAATAGTGTACCATTTGATTGTGGGCTTCTGGATCTGGTGAAACTGATTCCACTGCTAGACCTGATCTCCTGCGCGAAATCGAAACAGGAATCGCGCCTTCTCGTAGTTCTCGAAACCCTGCTGAATCATTCGAAGAAACTTCAGTTTGGCGGTCTGGTTAAGCTGATGAATACTCTCCATTTGATGGGCACGACCTTCAACGCGAAAGGCTGGATTCTCAAAATAGCGGAGGAGGCGGATAAGCTGTTGCTTACCACCAACACACAAAGCGAAATCGGACGAATTCGTGTCGCGTCGCTTTTTTCCTTCACGTCCATTCTCTATGAATACAACATTCGATCCTGCAATGGCTTTGTGAAGTTTATGGAGCACGCCTCCCCGATACTTCCGACTCGAATGAACCCCTTTGAGGTCGCACATTGCCTGAGCCTCATCTCTCTTCCCGAAAGGGGGCCATCCAAGTCGACCCGGTCCATCGTGTGGACGCTTTTGGGCAAATTAAGGCAGTTTTGGGGCTCCCACGAGCGCAGGGCGGGGGCCCTGTCGGGCTCTTTATCCTGTGGGCTGCTCGCGGAGTACCCCGTCCCGTGCATGGAGATCCTGCGCGCGATGATGCGATTGGAGGTGATCCCCGAGGAGGACGATCTTTGGTGCTTTTTCGGGAGCCCCGTGGGGTTCACCATGCCGAACGAAAAACCCTTCACCGCCTTTCGAAATGTCAGCGCACTCATCCTGGCGGATCTCTCCCGCGTGATCGCGAGCTTCGGCCGTCTGGCGGGCCTGAACGTGGAGGACGATGCGCAGCTCACGAAATTGCGGTCTTGGGGCGTGCTCAATACGCTGCTGCCGCTGCTCACGAAGCGTACCGAAGAGCTCGCGGAGAGTGCCACCACCGATCGTGCTGAGGTGTGGGGAAAGAACTCGGTATTGCCTTTTGCGTGGTCAGGTACGATAAAGACGGTTTTCTATTATGTCGACCTTCACATGACCACCTGCAGTTTCGAGATGATGTCGAAACGTCTGGATGAGGTCCACACTTTAACGAAGAATCTGGCGGTGTTCATCTCAAGGTGCACCGATGTAGAAATTTCCAATTCTTATCATGATAATGCTTCTGACCAAGTGGCAGGAGAGCCTCAGAAGTTTAGCTACGTACATTTTCACACTAATATGGTAGCGCAAATGTTCATCTACATGTTGATATGGGAGTTTATGTTGTTTGAAGGATCGTGGTCTGCGAAGCAGCGGCTTCTTACTACCAATCTACGCAGTGAGGATAAAAAAGCGGCCGAAAAGATATTGGAAATGAAGGAGGACTATATCGAATTTCTCAAAACTCCCCTACCGAACAATTCAAACAATACCAAAACCCCAATGGATATCATGCAGCATGGTTTTGGTATTACGAAGACTGGAGTCAACGAATCCTCCCCGATCACGAGGAAACCATTGTTGGATAAATCTCTGGTTCTAGAAATCACTAACTTTTTACCATTTGGAGTTTCATTAGTCCTGAATCCAGGCCCTGTCAATGAATTTTTTAGTGAACAAAGTGGGTCTCTTATCGTCAACTAATGCACTACAACGGACTAGCTCTAACAAACATAAAGAATTGTATGGTCAAAGCAGCCAATACTAGCAGTAAGGAAAAGGAATTAACGACAGCAGAGAGAGATACACCAAAAGAACCATTTCTCATTTTGTAAGGAACTTGTCATGTCTTCGCACAAGCTAATGTCTACTCCTGGAGCGCAAATTTTAGGCTTTGCTGTTAGTTTGATCCTTTAAATAAAGGGCAAGAAGAAATCAATATCGACTATTTTCACAACTACTTATCTTTTTATATCTACGTATGATTCCTTATTTATGAATCTATTAAGCAACGTCTTTAGTATACTTGTAACACATTTTCATCAAATTCCCCCTTCCCCCTCCCCCCCCATCCCTCCTCCTATTATCATCAAATCTATTTAAAGCGATTAACCCTGCAACAAGGGAATACACACGTATATTATGAACAAATTAAGAGGGGTATAATAATCTTGATAATAAGAATAATTGGAAATAAATAAATACGATTATCGGACCCCCGAAGTCCGTCTATCGTTTCCATTACATACCCACTAAGCGTCCATTTGCCTTCATGGACGAGGATTACTTCTGCAGGGTGAGAAAACGCCTACACAGCTCTGGTGTGATCACATCCTCGCGATCCGCGCTCAACCATGGCGACTCTTTTGAGTTCGACGACGATTACGTGATTGACGTTGGTGAAGGTAAACGGCCGAACTTTACAGAGCAACTTCTTGCGCATTTAGAGCAGCATGGCTTACGACGATGCTACGCGGACGAGGACGACTTTGCCGAATTCACCGCATCCCCAGAGGTGGTCCACGAGGAGGCTCAGGAAACCGATCACGACGAAACAACATCCACCTTATCCAAGCAGGACGATGCGCGGAGGGCGTATTTTTATATCTGTGTACCCTGTGAAATACGCCTTACAAAGGTCTACACTCACGCCGCGACGCATAACATTCTGGAGGACGCGCATTACCACTTTTCATCGGCTGCACACCGCAGCACGGCGTCGTGGATGGCGGACCCCGATATCGACGTCACCCTCAGCAATTCCCCGCTCGTTGACATCACAGGATACACCCGTATTTTCGTGAACGGTGTGCCTATGCTGCTTTCCCGCAGACCTGGCGGCGGGGATATGTTCTACCCCCTCCCTCACGAGCAGGAGAGGTTTAATCCGCATAACAAAGTCGTACGCCGGGCGCCACCGCCCCATCATGTCCTGGATTCCATTTCCAGCCCGCACGAGGAGATGGGGGCGCACAAAAACAAAAAATCTTCTCCACTTTACCCCTCGCTGCGATACTCCAGCAACGCGAACTACTGGTATCGCCCTCTTACCAGCACGTACTGCCGTAGAACACGGCAAATTGTCTCGAGATTTGAGGGAACCATCGAACACGCACTGGTGAAATGGAAGACACCCTTCCATCAACTCACCGCTCGGCGTAGGATTCAGGTTAATCAGGTGCGCATTCAAAGCCTTAAGTCTAATCTCCTTGTGGATAGCTCGGTGATGCCCACGATTCCAGCTCTATATCCTATTCTTCGCCGACGCATCGCAAAAAAATTTCTTGAGTGCTCGAAGGGGTTGCCCGATCCACCTCAAGCCCCTGTAGAGCCTTATCGCGTTCAATACATTCAGCCTTATCAACCATATCTTTTTCACTCAGACACTTTTGACGAGACACATACCTCAAACGACGAAACATCTAAGTTGGATCGATTTATTGTAGAGTCTGAGGGTGTCTACCGCATCGGGCTTTTATCGGAAAATGAACTAAAACATCTCGAGCACGAACGCGATCTTCTCGATGTGGTGTGCTATGACTTAGGCACTTCATCGTTAGCTGGAGGAGGGCAACAAACGGAATTTGTTACCACGGCACCTCTTACGCAAGAAATGCTAAGCCAGCTCACGCAAAGCTCACCATTCTCGTTGAAACAGCCAAATGGTCACGAAAACAGCTCGATGGGTAGCTACGGTAGTTCCTCATTAATAGAAAGTACTCCACCTTCATCGATATCGTGTTAATCGTTTGGATTCACACAATCTTGAACCCAAAGCACGCGCGCACTTACGGGCATACGAAGAAAAAAAGTTTTACTCAAAACATCTGACATTTCGTACTTTTTTGTGCGAGTCTGTGTATGGGGGGGGGGAGGGAGGGGGGAATGGCTTTAAATTTTCAGTGAAAGCCTTTGTGAGGACACATATAAAGACGCAAATATGTTATATGCGGTATTCTCTGCGATCATATTTTGTTTCTTTACTGTCCTATCCGACTCCTTTACTCTTTCTCTTTCTTTCTTTCTTTCTTTCTCTCTCTATAAATATATATGCTCAGCTATCCTCTATTACTAAATCATTTCTTCCGTACTCTCCTTGCTTCACTTTTAATTATCCATTTGCTACTCAAATACGACGAAATTGTAAATAAATTCTTTTCATTATCAGAATTAAATAATCCCAATAAACATTAAGCTATAAAAGGGGGATCCTTCAGGTGCAGCCTCAGTCATATTATCAAAGCCTGATGGTATTCCTGAATCTTTACAATGTACAAGTTGCCCGAAGCCCATACGAGGTGGTCGGGGCCCAGGCCTTTCAGCCTAGTGGCACCCTGGTATCCTCCCCGATGAACGCGAAGCGGTTCCCCGTCGGCGCGCTCGGGGTGCGCGAGCTGGCCTCCCGCCAGTCCCACTCCCCCTTATCCCCCCATTTTTCCTCCACCGGGTTCTCCGCCTTTCTGTGCCGCCAGCGCAAGGGCCAGCTTCTGGTCTGTTCCTGGGAGGACCTTCGGCAAATCGGGTCCTGCAGCCACGGGGCCCACACCTCCGTGGTCCAGTGCCTCATCACGGCGACCTTCCTTATCACCCGCATCGAGTGCAACCTCGGTGAGGACGCCCTCCAGAGCGACCACAACATCTACGTCTGGGACGCCAAGACCTTCGCGCGGCTCTACGAGCTTCATGGCCACACTGCCCGGGTTACCAACGTGACGGTCCACCCCTTCCACCCCAACATCCTCGTCACCGCGGCGCTGGATTACATGATGTGCGTGTGGGAGCTCTCCATGAACACGGCGACCTGCCTGTGGGACGAGGAAACGCGCAACCTCGGGACGATCACCCACCTGGAATGGCTGCCCTATCGGAGGCCGGAGAAGCTCACGGGGCTGGGCACGAGCCTGCTGGTCGCGGCGACGGATGTGCCGCTCAGCGTCTGGCGCTGGGATGGCGCGATCCTGACCCAGATGGCGGCGACGCCGGTGAATTGCAATAGCGCGGTCACCGCCGTGCACGTGCGGGCCTCTTCCAACGGCACCCAGTGTGTCGTTCATACCGGCAGCACCGACGGCTGTGTGCGGATGTGGGTGATAGACAGCAACCCTGCTGACGAGACGTGCACGATAGAGATGAAGTACCAAGTGAAGCTCCACCACGCCTCGATCAGCCATTTGCTGGGGAACGATCGGATTAACGTGAGTGGGAGTCTCTACAGCGGCGTCGCGCTTTACCACTGTCAGAAGGGTACGAAGGCAACGTTTGAGGAAATTGGCGGCGTCAGCTCAATGGCTCTTGACGATACAAATAAACTGATCCTAGTAGGTGCCATGAATGGTGTGCTATGGATAATCGGCTACACCGGGTTTGAAAATGCTGAAGAGAATGTAAAATCTAGGGAGTTGACGACACTGTACCGCTTTTATATGAGTAAAACAGCAATCACAGGAATCGTTCTTGAATTTATGAATGATAACACATGGAAGCGGCTATTGGTGGTCTCTTTGAATGGGTCTATCACCGTTTTAGACTACAGCCTCAGACATGTACGAACGATATCATCTTCGAAGGCTAGCGCCAAGGATTCTCCCCCCGAATTCTCGAGATCTATCGCGGCGGTCCCTTTTTTGCTCAAAACGGGCGATGAAGGCAGAACACTTCTTATAGCTCAGATCAAAAAAAACTCTATTGCCATTATAGACAATGACAAACCGAATTATACAGACTACGGCACCATTACGCTGCCAAAAAAAAACTTAGTAACGTGCTTGCACTGGGATACTGCGATAGAAAAGATGTTTATCGGTGTGCAAAGAGATACTGTGCGTGCTTTTTGCCTAGACTCTGCTAATCCAAAGTCTGGTGTTTGGATTGAGATAAACCTTTGGAAGATCAGTGCCTACTTGCCTATATCATTTTCGTCGACTGCTAGAAATATTATAGCGGTCTGCCTGACTGATAATCCAATTGCGCTGGCGAAGGCGCAGGGGTGGCTTGGAATTTTAGTATCCACTAATTCCGAAAGCGATAAAGACGGTTTAGTGGTGTTAAAGTCTCTTCAGGACGCCGTACCCTTTTCAGTAAAATTATTGGAATCCACCGCAAACCAGGCGAATATCCAAAGTTTAGATTGGACGGCGACGGCGGTGGTGCAAAACACAAGGGGGATTATCCAGATGTTTTCGGTGGAAGTGACGGACAGGCAAACTGACTACCAAGTAACCCCGAAGCTAATTCTCACACCGCCAGCACATATGATACACAAGATGGGTAAATTTGAAAACATGAAAAATCCATTTTTATGTAAGCCTTCGTACATCGTTCACTATGAAAGCCCCTCCAGAAAGGATGTGCTTATCGTAAAATGGGTTGAAAACTCGATCCTGTTTACAACCAGGGTATACACCTCAATGGATTACAAATCCATCATATTGGACCCTAGTAAATTGCCCAACATCCCTAAAAACTCTTCCCCTGTTTTCGTTAGAGAAGTCCATCAGGTCAATTCTCATGGAGTGAGTGTTGTTGTGCTGTACGACAACTCGTTGTACGCTCTTCTTTTAGGCACTATGAACGAAGGCGAGAAGGCCGTCCCCATGTTCACGTTAAGCTACACTGGGGAGGTGCTGCAGTACAATGACGAAAAATGGAAAACAAAAGAAGCGAGCATCATCACTGACGAGGAGGAATTTAATAAAAAAGCGTATGTTTGTATATCTAGCTATTCCGAAGGGTACTACATAGCGTTTGGCTACCCCAACGGTTTAGTTCAGCTATTAGACACGTCGGGTATTTACGTGTTCGCGCGGCTGTGGATGGACTCCATGCCAGTGAGTGATCTTCACGGGCTGTGGTGTTTTGAGAAGAATGTAATTGTTCAGGATGATAGTGTCAAAATTTATTCGGCCTCTTTACATCACCGCTATCTGTTTAACACGGTAGATTAATTCATTTATAGATGATGATTGCAGAAAGTGTAGGTTTAGAGACTAGTTTTTTCATTTTTTTTTTGTATTAGAACACTTTTTTCTGATGATAAATAATGTATTAGGTGCGCAGAAATACATTTATGTCAATTATTTGGAAAGGTACTCTATAAGAACTATGTATGATAATCGAAAGCTTTAAACAATCTAGACTACCTTATCTTTATTCATGCAAAGTGCGGCATCTGATTGTTTTTGTCGACAAGAAGTGTGCATTTAAATTTCTCTATATTATCCATAATACTTATTCTGAACTTATGTTTTTCATACGGTGATTCCAACTCCATTTAGATTTCACAAGTATAACCCTTTTTATTAGCACGGAAAGTTTTCTTTAACAAGATTTGCCGAATTTCATTAGTATAGTGCATTATGTGCTGAAGACATTATTTTATACTACTATTTTCAAGGATTTCACAACAGAGAAACCTTTTTTGCGATTAATTTATTGTTTGTATGTGGTCGTAAATTTGTAATCCATATCACTCTTCTGCTTTAACCTGTAGCAAAGAGACACCAAATTCATTGAATATTTTAACCTGTTAATATTTACATTTGAATAGGTAACCTTAGATTTAACAAATGATATTCTGCTGACATAAAGATTACAGTTTTTTTTCGTGCTGATGAGGGAATTAAAGTAGAGAACAGATTATTCAGATTTAAAATAGTGTAAATTACCGATTCTCTTAAAATGGGAAAATAACATCCAAGAGCAAGTAACTTTGTGGTATGAGGTTTCAGAGATTATTTTTTACACCTTGACTTCTATATTTGTTTATTTTTTTCTAAACCATTTCCTTAATTCCTTTCTTTTTTTTTTGCTCTACACACACATCACTTGCGAACACTATGCTTCGAGCTCTTTTGTTCATCCCCTCTCTCCTAAACGTAAGAAGGAAAATAAAACTTCTGAAGAGTAGTCTGGGCTGTTTTCCCTTTTATCACAACATATATATTTAATATAGTAGGACGCGCAGATGGCGTTTCTAACATCCCAGATGATGAAAAAGGAATTCAGTCTACCAATGGTTCCCGGGATGTCTTGTGGTGAGGAAATGCTCCGACGAAATTATCACCGATCCCACATCGTGGGATCAGGCCTTGACTGCGCCACGGTGTTCGACGCGGTGCCCGACGATAAGACCCACCTAAACACCCAATTCGCCTCCACCAAGTTCAAGACGAATGCCAACGGTGTGGACGCGGCGCTTTCGGGTGAGGGCGCCACGGATCTCGCGGGCTACGTGCTTCGCTTTTACGGCTACACGGTTGAAAACGTGGCGGAGAGCGTGGTCGAGGTGGCGCGGCTCCGGAAGGTGATACTGCGGTTTTACCTCGAGGACGGCACGATGAGCCTGACGGAGCCGTCGGAGGACAACTCCGGCATCCCCTTCCGCGCGAACCTCAAGCGCCACCTCGTGCCCCACCCCGACGGCACCCCGATCACCCTGGAGGACCTCAAGGTCGGCGAGCCCATCACCTTCTACGGCAAGACCTACCTCCTCTACGACGCCGACCCCTTCACGCGGGGCTTCTACCAGGAGAAGGGCACCCCGCAGGCGCCTGCGACGTCGCCGCCCAACACCT